TATAAACTCAAAGTCAACACAGTTGTATGTTCGGAACTATATGCCTGGATGTCGGAATTACCAACTTACATACGTAGACTATGAAACTGATACGATTACAAGTTTGGATTTACAAACTTACAAGTTTGGATTTACAAACTTACAAATCTGGATTTTTGAACACGATTACCCTCCATATTTTTAGGCCTATATAATCCATTCTAATGAATGATCTAGTAGTGTATACAGAGAACATTGTACTGTAGATTTTAATATTGTTTATTATTTGAAGAATTTGATGTAACCTCAGTCACATTACCACATGTTTGTTAGATTATACTTTGCTTCATTAAGAACCTGACTGGGGGATTAAGCGAACGCTAAGTACAGTTGAACTTCAGTATTTTGAACACTGATATCTCAAATACCATGGATAATTCAAAGTGATTTGGAAGTTTCTTCTCAGTTCCGTTGAGTCCAAGGTATCAAAGTTTGACTGTAATTTCATTGTTTTTAGGCCTTTATAATTCACTTGATGAGTGATCTAGTAATGTACACAGAGAATACAAAACGGATTGAAAGCAATAAAGTTATGAACTCTTGTAGATTTCTTGTGTTCATTTTCAATTCATATTAAGAAAATAGGTGGTGATTTATAAAAAAAAACTGATCCTTTTTATACACACGGATTGTGAATTGTGATTATAAATTGAATATGAAATATAAATATACTGAGTGGATTGGACAACGGAGTAAGTCTATAATTGCACTGTCCTTAAATGGTGAAAATTGAACTTTGAGAAATCAACACCTCAAGAATGATATGGGAGAAATTAAGAATAAAGACAGAAGAAAGCACAGAAAACATATCTGATTATTAAGCTTAAAGCTGAACACGATTGATAAAAGGAAGAATTTTCTTTGTCACCATATTTAGTTTTATCCAAGATTGTCACTTACTAGCTGCTACATAAGCCTCACCTTTGTTTAGAGATTCAATGTATTTTGCTTTACAGAGTTTACCTGAACAGACATCTCTTTCATGTCATTATGATGGACTTGGGCGCAACAGAAATGACATCTGTGTGCCTCTGCCACTTCAGGAAAAATTATTACCAAAGATATTCGATGTCAGTTGCACTGGTCAATGCATTACAAAGTAAAATAAACATAAATGCACCCTCAATAAAATAAAAAAAATACATGCACTACACCCAACAGCGACCAGGTTAATTATTCAGGTGTGGGTTCCAGTGCTGACATAGGAAACAGGAAAAATAAATAAATATGCCTTAAGGCCACACCAATAAAATGTTTTGTTCATTGGTCCCGCACGCTCGAATTTAAACTATACAAATAATATTAATTTCAATTTCCCGCACCATGGAAATTCTGTGCTATTTTCTATTCCATTTTCGCTCTATATTTCGTATTTTAAATCTGCTTACTCTGCAAATCAGAAAAAATATAATTGTCCGCTCAAATTTTTTCACGCTCCGCCTAAAAATTTTGCTTAAAAAGGTAATAATATTATTATTTAACCACTTGCCCGCTCATACTTTTTTTTCATCAAATGTCCGATGAACAAGAAATTAAATTGGTGTGTAAGGAAGCTCTAAACACTAATCAAAAATGCTTTTTGGACTTTGAGAAAAATATTTCCGTATATCTAGTTAATTTTCAACATAGGGTACGTACCTGCCCTATTTCTGCAGGGAAAATGTTCAAAGACAATGGACTATCTGTGAACAGAAATCATTGTTGTTTACTTACATCGGGAAAATTAATGGAAATGATGTACTCAGTTACTTAATCTTGGTCTAACATAACATTAAAATACATTGATTCATAACAAATTGTGTCATAAACTGTAGATTCCCATTTATTCTATTTTTCTTCTAAGGGTAGATCACTCTAACTCAATAAAACTATCCTACAAATAGTAATTTTTAGTGTGCAGTGTTTAGAGCTTCCTTACTGACTGTTTTATGATTCTGCCTGAGTGGTTAGGTTCTAAACTGACTGTTTTATGTTCCTGTCTGACAGGGTTAGGTTTCTGCCTGACTGGGTTAGGTTCTAAACTCACTGTTTTATGATTCTGCCTGAGTGGTTAGGTTCTAAACTGACTGTTTTATGTTCCTGTCTGACAGGGTTAGGTTTCTGCCTGACTGGGTTAGGTTCTAAACTGACTGTTTTATGATTCTGCCCGAGTGGTTAGGTTCTAAATTGACTGTTTTATGATTCTGCCTGAGTGGGTTAGGTTCTAAACTGACTGTTTTATGATTCTGCCTGAGTGGGTTAGGTTCTAAACTGACTGTTTTATGATTCTGCCCGAGTGGTTAGGTTCTAAACTGACTGTTTTATGATTCTGCCCGAGTGGTTAGGTTTTAAACTGACTATTTTATGATTCTGCCTGACTGGGTTAGGTTCTAAACTGACTGGTTTAGGTTCTAAACTGACTGTTTTATGATTCTGCCTGACTGGGTTAGGTTCTAAACTGACTGTTTTATGATTTTGCCTGAGTGGGTAAGGTTTCTGCCTGACTGGTTTAGGTTCTAAACTGACTGTTTTATGATTCTGCCTGACTGGGATAGGTTCTATTGAACTGGCTGTTTTATTATTCTGCCTGAGTGGGTTAGGTTTCTCCATGACTGAGTTAGGTTCTAAATTGATTGTGTTATGTTCCTGCCTGAGTGAGTTAGGTTTCCGTCTGACTGGGTTAGGTTCTTAACTGACTGTTTATGATTCTGTCTGACTGGGTTAGGTTCTTAACTGACTGTTTATGATTCTGTCTGACTGGGTTAGGTTTCTGCCTGACTGGGTTAGGTTCTAAACTGACTGTTTTATGATTTTGCCTGAGTGGGTAAGGTTTCTGCCTGACTGGTTTAGGTTCTAAACTGACTGTTTTATGATTCTGCCTGACTGGGATAGGTTCTATTGAACTGGCTGTTTTATTATTCTGCCTGAGTGGGTTAGGTTTCTCTATGACTGAGTTAGGTTCTAAACTGACTGTTTTGTGATTCTGTCTGACTGGGTTAAGTTTCTGCCTGACTGGGTTAGGTTCTAAATTGATTGTGTTATGTTCCTGCCTGAATGGGTTAGGTTTCCGTCTGACTGGGTTAGGTTCTTAACTGACTGTTTATGATTCTGTCTGACTGGGTTAGGTTCTCGTCTGACTGGGTAAGGTTCTTAACGGACTGTTTATGATTCTGTCTGACTGGGTTAGGTTCTAAACTGTATGACTTGTTCCTGTTTCTGTCTGACTGGGTTAGATTCTAAACTGACTGTTTGCAGTTCGCGCATGAGTAGATTAGGTTTCTAATTTGCCTTATTTATAATTTCTGCCCGACTTGGTTAGGTTTTAAACTGAATGTTTTAGGTTCAGTTTTAGGTTTTAAAAGTTACTTGATAATGTTTCTACCTGAGCGGAATATGTTCTTAGCAAATGGTTTTTATTCCTTCCAGACTGGATAAGGATTTAACCAACCTGGGTTGGCTATGAAACTGACCGTTTATGTTCTGCTTAACCGTTACCGGTACTTTCACTTATATTTTATGTTTATTTCATGTGTAAATCAGATGTACTAGTATTTTTGTTCCGTTTCCTTAATAAATACATGTAAAGGGTCGTAGTATCACGGGGCGGGGATGGGACACATCATTTTACTGCTTAAAATGTTCGTTGAAAAGCTGCCCAGCCCACCACCTTAGTATAGGCAAACTAGGCAAATGTGTATGAATAAGTATAAATGGTATTTTGCTGTGAAAGAAGTCTTAACCTCACCCCCCCCCCCCCCCCAAGACACACACACGTCCACACGTTAAAAGATGTTCGAGTTTGCCCCCCCCCTTCTTTTTTTTCTTTTGTTGGCTTGTTAAAGTTATTTGTTATTTTAAGCAAGTTGTCTTTTTTCTGCCCCTCCTCCCATCTTTTTTTTCAAAGATGATACAACGTGCCAGAAAGAAACAAATGAACTCCAATATATACCTGCTTGAAATTGATAACCAAGTTCTCAACTGCCTTAGTTTAGTTTTCGGGGGGTGATATTGGGGTTATTATTATTTTTTTTTTTAAATTTTTAGATTCCTTTGTTGATTAGTGGATGCGGACATGTTTTTTAGCTCAGTATTTTAATCCATTCTTTATTATTCTTAATTCCTTTCCATTAATTTATACTTCGGGTTTTTTTTTTTTTTTTTTTTTTTTTTTTTTTTTTTTTTTATACAAATTATATAAGCAGTTTCCTTTCCTAAGTTCAAATAATTGCCTTACTTAATTATACTTAGATTACAAAGGATTTTATAACATCTATATGAAAAAGACAGAAACTATTAGGTCATTCAATTCAATCGGGTTAGGCCTTCCCTCTCCAATTACATAATCTAGAGTCATACCGGGATTTGTTTTTCCGAACTGCCTGACTGGTTAAGTAATAGACTCTTCCCTCCCAATGTCCAGCTGTAACAGGATGTAAACAGGATCCACATTATGAACTTTGTGGAAAGTTTCAACAATACATTGAATATTTATATTATTTGATATTGAATAATATTTATATATTTAAGACGAAAGAATAGCATTGGAAGTGAACAATATAAAGTGCGTGCTTTCTTTGGTACACTATGTAAACTGAGAATAATCTTCTATTTTATTCAAGGCTGACCCAAAAGTCTCTAGAAGACTAAAGAGAAAAATGAACTTTAAATAGAAAACATTTAATTTTAGAAATAATATTCAAACAAGTTTACTCAAAGCGGAGAAATAAATAGTAAAACCATATACAGAGTTTTATCTCTACTTTCTATGTAATACGTGCTTGTGCTTTGCTAATTTTGGTATCTGTTTATAACATGTATAACTTCACTATGTCATCAGTTGGAGGTGTGATCTGTCCCTAACATGCATAATTGCTGCCCGTGTGTATATTTTACTAGCTCAGATCCGGGTTTTAACGTAAACACCAAGTTATCGCCCAGCATTAGTATACACAAAATATACAGTATATGTGTAGAATACTAGAATGCCTAAGTACATATATGCTGAAATATCCTTAGTATTTTTCCTGTGTCTCCACAATGGTAAGTTTATTTAATTTAACTGTTGTTACATGTATACGAATGTTTTTTTTTTCTTTTCTTGATTCATTCATAAGACATAACACGATCTGATCTTTTTAATCCAGTGCAGAACGGCCAGACACACCAACCAACCCAGGAGGCCGTTTTCGTGACGGCTCTGTACGACATTGGTCGGGAAAACTGGACACACTTCCATCGAAGTTTCGATGAATACTTATCTTATTTCAGGAAAGTCCTGAGCTTGAATGTAAAAATGATCATCTATTCCGACGAATCAGTTCAAAAAGTTGTGTTGGATGAAAGGAAAAATCTACATCACAGAACACAGTCATACTCGCTACCATTTACTAATTTAGAATACTACCGATTCAGACAGCATATTGAACATGTCCTTGTCTCTCCAGAATTCCGAGATTCCAACGAAATGCTTAATCATCCAGAAGCGTTTTCCTCAAAATATTTAATCGTGGTGAACAACAAAGTTTCTTTTTTGTCAGATGCTGTAAGAAAAAATCCTTTTAACAGTACACATTTCTTTTGGATTGATGCCGGGCATGGACACGGAGATGACCTTACCAAATGGAAGAACTTTCAGCCTACAGTTCTTTTAAGTAAACGCAACAAGATCACCTTTATTGAATTGAACGATCCAGCGTTATATAAAGATATCAAAGACCTTCATAAAGTCCAAATAGACCCTGTTTTAACTGGAGAGTTCTTTGGGGGTGACGCTGGAGCCATTTTGAAATATGAAAAACTCTACAAGAAAACTTTTCGAAAACTCCTCACGGAAAACATAGTGGATGATGATCAAAGCGTGGCGTTTCATTGTTATAAAGAAAATCCCAATCTGTTTGAAAATGTTTGTGGATCCTGGTCTGATGCCTTTAAATTGTTTTCATAAAAGATGAGAGAGAGGAGCAACCTCGCTGTACATAAAGTTTGAAATCAAGTGATAGTAGTACCACGGAACAGTATGTTTTTATCACATGATGTATCACATCACGTGATGACTTTTTATGTTTTGTATTTGATTTTTATACATGTATTTTGCTTTGTCTGTTTGTTTGTTTGTGTGTATGTGTGTGTGTGTTTTTTTTTTTATATTATTATAATTTTTAAAAGGGTATTTCTTGCATGGTGAATGAATTTGGCTCTTTCGCTTTGCGTTACTAGTACAGTGTACTTATTACAAAAATTGATATTTGATGAGGTGATTTCGACTTTATCATCTACCGAAATTCATGTTGATAAGCAATAAGATGACTGATTTTAGTTTGAAAGTATCTCCTACTCTAATTACTATCGTGTACACTATTTTTTATAGTCAAATTGAAAGCGTTAAACCTCTTTGAATGAGAGTTATCTTTCCTTTTTCATATTGCCAAAACAATCTTGAATCTTGCATTCTTTTTCTTATTCTGAATCTTGCATGCCTCGTTCCCCCAGTATTATACACATCTTTTTAAAGAGGGGTTGTGTATTAGTGCAGCTATATATTGATATTTACATCCACTGAATATTATTTTCTTTATTTCGTATGAAAACCATTGTCGTTTATCAGACAGTAAACACCCCTAAGCAAGCTTCTTGAGCAGCGGCTCTTCCATCAATTATGCATACAAAGACATACACATCTAAAATAAAATATTTAATATATTTAATTTTAATTGTTTTGTTTTTCTACAGATCTAAATATAAACAAATAAAATGCCTTTCTTTGTTTGTTAGTACGGGAATTAACGTTGCAGCTATTGCGGGAAAAAATACATAACCTGCGTAAGCGTTTTATGTTTTTTTTTCTGCAACAGCTGCGACATGCATTTATTCCTATACTAACAACCAAAGAAAGTATTTTATTGTTTAAATGAATAAACCCAGGGAAAGTTGTTGTAAATGAGACACAGAAGTCGATGTCCACAAAGAAATAAAAAGAATTCTTTGAGTCTCAAAATGGGCGGGGCAGGGGGGAGGCATGGGTATATACGGGTGAGTTAGGGAAGTGAGCACAATTATAAATAAGATGATGTAAGGGAATACTAATGATGTCGAAAATCTTCATAACTGAAAGTGAGGTAGGGATCTTCATTAGCATTTTTAACTATTTTCCTTAATATTTACACGGTTCTTGACGAACAGATCGGAGGGATGATCCCCTCCTAATTTGACATTGTAGATAAAAGGGTTTATTCATTTTTAGCAAATCCGAGCCGAAGGCTCACCTAAGCTTTTCTGATCAAAATTTGTCCTTTGTCTGTCATTGTTGTTGTCGTCGTCGTAAATTTTTACAATGTCTTCTTCTTTAGAACCACCAATTTCAACCAAACTTGGCACAGACTATCATTAAGTAAAGGGGATTCAAGTTTATTCAAATGTAATACCACACCCTCTCCCAAGGGAAGATAATTAAGAAATAGTAAGAACTGGGTGGGGTCATTTAAAAATCTTCTCAAGAACAACTTCGTCAAAGAAGAGGAAACTTACATGGCAGGTTCTTGTCATAGTGTTGATTCAAGTTTGTTCAAAGCGTGACCCCTGGTGGTAGGGTTGGGCCACTCTGTGTGAACAAATTTTTATATGGGTACATGAGTAAGTATAATATATATATATATATATATATATATATATATATATATATATATATATATATATATATATATATATATATATATATATATATATATATATATATATATATATAGAATAAGACAATGTACGTTTTACTGCTTGTCGTAATTAATTAGCGATAATTAATTCGTTCAATTATGTAAATCGCACTTCACCATAGTTCACCCGATAGACCGGACGCAATTCATAGCGCTCCGGATTTCTTTGTTCAAGACTGCTTATTAGTAGTAGTGCTAGTTGTTTTTGTTTCTCTATTTCCTTTGTTTTTATGACTTCTTAACTTTTTCTTTGTCCTGAGGAAGGAGCAGGTCGTCCCGAAAATTTGACGATTATTATTGTCCGTGTCGTTGGTCATTTTTAGTGCTTTGTATATATATATATATATATATATATATATATATATATATAGATATAGATATAGATATATAGATATAGATATAGATAATATGTAAAATTGTGTTCCATTTCATTGCAAAAGTTAAAAAATTAATTTAATCAATTATATGCCAACAACCTGATCAATATGAATAAACAAGCAATATAACCTACAAATACTGAATCTATTTAATACATATGCCAGAAACATGCATACATGTACTCATTTAGCTATAGTACATGTATATATCTACATGTACTGCAATAATATGAGACACCAGCTAGTTTATATGAATTGACCCTTAAAATTCGGATTTTTCCGTATGGCAGCAAATAAATAATGAATAAGCACCCAAGATTAAAGTTAGTATGAATATTTCTGAATACACAAACCTAAAAATGCTGCATTTTTCAAATCAAAAAAGATTAGTCAATGCCCTCTTATTTGTATCCATAAATTTTGAAAGAGATTAAATCAAGAGCATTTTAAAAAAGAGACATTCCATATATTTGTATGTTTATCTTTTTTTCAATTTTGACTTGTAAACAGAAAGCAAGTTTTTCAAAAACTCCAGAAATGAAGCATGTATGACATATGAAGAACATGGTTTTTCTCGCTTATCATTTTAACATTTATGGGATTAAAAATGAGAAAGCAATTATATTAGCAAATTAAATTATTAATTTTATTCAAGTTTGTCCTCACAAATTAAAAATGTTATGCTGGGAAACGGACAACCAATAATATGAATATTGTACACATTCTCGACAATTCCTTCGATTCCTATTAATCAAGAATTTCCTACATTTAATTGTTAGCTATCTAAATTTCAATGCTTATTACATTTCAACAGTTGAATACTGTAATTATTTTCATTACAATTTATAGATTTTAAGCGCGTGCGTGTGTTTTTTTTTCTCATCCTCCTCAAGTTTTCCTCTCACGCTAGAATCGAGCAGATGAAATAAATTTTACTGCTGTTGATTATTTAGGATAGTATGATTGGATTTTTCGGATTACATTTCATAAATGATTATATTTGAATAAGGAAAATTGCATTTTAATATCTATGTCCAGACTAAGGAAGTTGTTTTCTCTTTTGAGGAAAAATAATTAAGACAAACTCATCAAAACATTACAAAACGGCACAAATAGAGTTTTGTATGCAGATGTTCTGCCATATTGAATAACTACTTCATAATACACTTACATCTCTTTGATATGGGGCGTTCTCGCTTTCTTTTCTTTGTCCATCATTCTACGTCTGAAAAAGACAAAAATAGAATAAAAATAGACATCAATCATTTTATTCTTTTAAAGCAATATGCAGAATGCCTGTTTGAACACAGCAAAAAAAAAAAAAAAATTACTGCAAGATTTTTAACATTGCGATAAGTCTCACGCAGGTGCAAAAGTGCATACAATTAAGAGGAATGAATAGCAATTGATGAGAAAACAAATGAAAAAATCATTATAGTGAGTAAATCAATTTATTGTATCATGATAAATATAGACAAAATATACATATTAGTTTCATTGAGATGATATGAAGACAGAATTTATAAAGAGGCACAGCATGCTCTTTTTTCGCGTTAATTGAGTTACAATGTACATGTAATACAAAACTGTTCAGATATACATATATAAGGACAAGCAGAAAAACCAGAAAGCAAAGTATATCTTAGAACATTGTAAAGTATAATTATATATTTCTTTTGGATTTCTACCAGTAGATATACATGAAAGTCTTAGTATATAAAATCAAACGGTAATTTCTGAAACTGGAATAGTTTTAAAGTTAAAAAAAATATCATAGTTCAAACGTTGCCAAATTGAACTTCGGTTATTTTGCCGCGTAAAAATCACCTGCTAACGCATTAATTTGATAGTAGACATTAGCTTGACTTCACTACAGCGCTGTTCCACGACGAATGTAAACCTATAGGGTTTGAGACAATGATTTTAATCAAAAAATAAACATATTAAACTATTTACAATGTACTTATTATAGAGTGCATTGACCTATAATCCAATCGGGATATGAAAGTGTAAGACTTTTGCGTAATAATAAAGAAACCTGGTAATCGGATGAAGGACAATGTAAGCTACCAGGATGTTTATCTATCTTGGGAAGTCGATACAGGAACAGTAATGGAACATTGCTAAAGTTATCTTAACATTATATTAACTTTTGCACAATACTGGGACGTCGGACTGAAGCTTATTAAAGTTTATGTTTCAATTACAATTTATTTTATAATATTCCAGGATTTTGTATAAATTTATTGAATAACTTGTTTACTTGAATCTGATTTGTCTATTTCATATGTAAATGAGTATTATGCATTGTACAGTATAAAATACGATCTACGAAGCTCTTCGAGAGAGCCACTATACGATCATCTGTACGACCTATCACTTTCTGTAATTAAACTTCTTGAAAAAGACTATTGGTCTCATTGGCTTACACGAATCCTATTCTGAACAATTGAGAAAAACTGCTGTGTTAATTTGTCCACTCTTTTGTCTCATTTGGTGAGGGATATTAATCTTAATTTTTTTTTTTTTACTTTTAACAGCAAATAAGTGCAGAATAATAAGTTGATCAAAAATAGTTTTAGTGTCATCATTATAAAACTCGAGATTAGTGAATTGGTTTGTATTAAGCCTGGACTTTTATGTAGACTACTAGACTTTGACCCGTGCGTGCACGGGTTGACATTGTTATGAATGCATCCATGTGCATATCGGACATTTACCAAGGGTATCCTAAGTAGGAACTTGAAAGTACTTCTTGCTGCAATAATGAAGCCTTTTCATGGGGGGTGGTGGTGGTGGTGGGGGGGGGGGGGTTTACAACTAATCAGTAACATTTTAAAATAAATGTTTTGATGTAATTA